ATGACACATAACTGGATTAGAAGGAAAACTCCTAGTATTTGATATCTGCATCAGACCACATTAAGAGGATTAGAACTAGATTGTAAAGCTAATACTATCATCTGGTGATTTCAAATTTTTAATATATCAGGTAGTTTCAAAGAGGCAACTTCTTTAGACTAGCATGCACGCAATGGTAATACGAAAAAGTATTTGCTGATGCTCACATGTAAGGTAACATAATGCATCTGATGATGCTGTGCAAATCAAATAAAAGCGATATGTTTCACTTTTCCTTCTCAGAGATTATTATGTGCAGGACAAATCAGCAAAGTGCTCAACCCAACTCACTAATCCGTACCAAGGCTCCATTTATCCATTCATATGTTACAGTATAGCTCCTCTAAAGCAAAATTGATTGATGTACATAAAACATTCAAACACATGCAATGGCAGAAGTAACTTTATGGATATCTAATAATGAGATAAGCATGAAATACGGAAACATTTTTAAAAAAGGTCAATAACACACGCAACTGGGACAAATGCAAGATTTTAGGGCCTCCATTCAAGAATATTACCACAAAACCGCTGCCATTTTGTATTCATAACACTTGTTCCCCCGAATCACAAAGAGTTTATGCCATATATGTCTTGAATCTCAATTACAAAGTGTAGTGCAATTAGCAAATAATGCATAAATGTCTTGAATCTCAATTACAATACAAAATAATTTCGATAATCTTTAATGAGACACATGAAAAACCAATGAAAGTATGAGATACCAACAAGAGTTCATCTTATTCAAGTTGAAGCAGAAAGAGAAGAAATTAAGTACGAGGTGCAATGCCAAAAACACACACACACACAAGCTAAATATTCAGATGATTAAGAAAATTGTGTAATACAGTTACCAATTACGTAATCGTAAAAGTAATATGCTTTAGTTCCCAAACTATCTTGGCACGCTTACCTTGGTCTTTGATTTGATGGTTTTCCAATGAACATGTAACGGATTCCGGATGCTCGTTTTGAGATATGATAGTAAAGTCCTGCAGTTGAGCAATATCAATAACATCACTAAATATCTGCAGTGTAATCATGCATAATAACTCCTCATATATAAATAATTTAAGTAAGCACCTTCAAAGTAGAAAAGCATAAGATTTGTTCGAAGAAACAGCTGCAAAACCTCACGTGCTACTGGGAGCACCTGAATACCACACAGTAATCATCACATTAGCACAAAGGCACTAGAATTTATCTACTTAAACAATAATATTGTGCTTGGCTCGTAAATAAAAGAGTTTAGTATCACAAAAGAGAAGATGTTCCATACTGTTGGCCATCTTTGAATTATGTACAGCCGCAATCTTCTAAATCTTTCTTTCAACCTAGAAAGGGATGATCTTGAGACCTGTGATGTGGACGATGTTGGGGTTTCACTGCCTGTTTGACTATTCAAAGGAGCATTGCTAACACTAAAATCATCAGAATGTGATTCAGTGAGGAACATGCCACGGGAAGCAATTCTGGAGCTGCATTAACAACAAAGCTCTTAAGACAAAACCAATCACCAGCATTAACAACAATGAGAAAGAAAAAGGTGTTCTACATGATTTAATCCAAGGTGCGTGAAAAAACCTCGTTCTTTCTGCAATGTAAGGAACTGCTGTCTGATAAAGAATAAATAATGCACGTCTTGCAGGAGTTGGAGGAAGTCCATAAGATCCAGCAATCTGCAATATCATCAATATAAAGTCATGCCAAAGTATCACATATATAGATTTTAAGACTTTTGACCTATACCCAAGATATCAGTTTAAAGGATAAAAATGGTTTTAGTAGTAAAATAAGAAAACAATGTGAAAATAACCAATTCTAAAAATTCAGAGAAGCAAAGAGCCAAAGATATTGAAAATGATAAGACAGAGTTACATAACAAACAGCAGTAACTTGCTTGGCACATGAGATTCTTCTAATTTTTAAGAATACGTTCACTTGATACACCTAGCTCATACTAACAATGCTTAGGAAAATGCAAAAAACACCAGCATTAAATAAAATTTGGAGGCCGAAGGAGCATAAATGATACAAACATAGAACTTATTATGTTAAAAGATAATCAAAACCAAAGTTACCTGAGCTATATCACAGTACTCTTCTCCCAAAGTCTGCTGGCCCGCACCTGTTGTAAGAATATAATAAAGCATTTGGCCTAGAAGTTTTGTCTGCACAAAATTGATGTTCCATGGTAAGGGTCTCAATTGCTATACAATACATCAAGATTATGAACCACATATGTATTATATTTGGAGTACAAGGAAAGAGAGATATGCGTGAATATTCCCATGAAACCTATATTTCTCTAGGAATATCCTAGCAACCTTCTCTTTTACTAAGTGCCATTATAAAACATTGCTTTGATTATATCCAATTCACAGGTACCCGTTTCCCCTTCTCCGTTTACTACTCCCACCTTATTACCTAGGGAGCTCCCTCCTCCATGCTAAATTAAACTAAAATTAGAGGGCTCGGTGAAGCAAATTTCAGCAGCAGCAGCAGCAGCTATAATTTCTGTGACACTCAAAACAACCAACCTTACTACTACATGAGTACATGTAACTTCTTCCTAGGGAATATGCAATTAATCGCAGAGGAAGCTAATGCTCTCCATCACGGTACACCTTCAGCTCCAGACAGGTAACCGCAATCTTTTTATTAAAGCCGAAAATCTCCCTGTCCTTAATGCTGTTTTAGGAAACTGAACCCCTTACCTCCCCCCCCCCCCCCCCAACTGCCACACACTCCTTCAACTGAACAATTACTCGAAAATCATGTAAACCGAGCAGCAGATTCGACAACAATATACGAATGCAGCCCACCTAGTGACTTCTATATTGTAATAAATCCCAAATCACTTCAATTCTCCTAGCTAACTCATCAGATAATTCCTCAAATTTCTTAATCCTACCTTCTCTTTCCCCCAATTTAATTTGATTGCAAATTTGAACATTAACTTCTCTTTCCCCCAATTTAATTTGATACCATTGCAATTTTGACATTAACTTGACTTTTTATTTTTCTATTCAGCAATTCATACAGTACAATCATCATCAAAATAAAATTAATAAAACTGAAAATTAACATTGAACATATTGATAATAAATCAATAATACTAAGTAAGTGATAAACCTCGTACCTCACTATGGTAAGCAACTGCAATTCTAGCACCTGAAAACTCAACCAAAAAACAAAAATCAATATTTCAAATAAAAACAGAAAAAAATTACTAGTAAGAAAATGGAGGAGAGAGAAAGAGAACCGAAGAGATGGCGGAAGGCATCGCGGCAAGCGTCGGAGACGAAGGAGGCGTAGTGGTCGTCTTTCTCGGCGGCTCTCATGATTTCCGGCTGAGCTGCTGCCGGAAACCCGCTTATTGTTTCTGGTTGGCCGCTGCTCGAGGTGGTTGTGGGTTCCATTCTTACTTCCTCTCCCATCTTACTCTTTCTTTCTCTCTCCTCTGAATTTCTAATTCAAATTTTGATGATTTTTGTTGGGGTGATTAGATGCTGAAATTTGTTAATTTGGTTGATGAAGAGAGAACAAGGTTTTTTTAGTGGTAAAATGAAGTTGGAGTTAAGGACTTAAGGTAACTACCTAAGCTCCATTGATTATTTGACTTACTAAAACCTGAACCCCAAACGTTATATCTTTAAATACACTGTAATTTTCTAATTGTAACAACACTAAGGGCTTGTTTGGTTGCCTTTAATTTCCATGGACACTCAAAATTCACATAAATTTCCTTTTGGGTATGTTGTTTGGTTGACATTAAAAAGTAAAAATGGGGAAAGTCATAATTCATGGGAATTTTCACTTCCCATAAAACATGGGAAGTTACTTACCCACCCCTCCCTTGGTCATTCACAATTCCCATGATTTATAAATTCCCACGTGACAACGAAACATATTTATGTAATTCCTAGGAATTTTAATAAAGGAAGTAATTTCCCATGAATTAGAATTTCCCATGGGAATTTACTTCCTACATCAACCAAACAAGCCCTAAATCGTAAAATTCTGATTTGATGCGGTTGAAATCGCGCTTTGAATATTCTTAATTAAAAAATACTATTCATGCAACTATACAAGTACTTCACATCCATGCATCGTGTATGAGTTAGACTGTGATTCAACAAATAATCAGTAGATTAAAGAAAATTAAGATGAAATCTAGAGTTATTAGGATTACAGATCAATATATAGATTATAGAGTAATGATGTTTGTATGATGATTTTTATATGAAAAAAGAAAAAGGAAAAAATGCGCCGTTGCCGGGGATGTTGTTTGGTTGACATTAAAAAGTAAAAATGGGGAAAGTCATAATTCATGGGAATTTTCACTTCCCATAAAACATGGGAAGTTACTTACCCACCCCTCCCTTGGTCATTCACAATTCCCATGATTTATAAATTCCCACGTGACAACGAAACATATTTATGTAATTCCTAGGAATTTTAATAAAGGAAGTAATTTCCCATGAATTAGAATTTCCCATGGGAATTTACTTCCTACATCAACCAAACAAGCCCTAAATCGTAAAATTCTGATTTGATGCGGTTGAAATCGCGCTTTGAATATTCTTAATTAAAAAATACTATTCATGCAACTATACAAGTACTTCACATCCATGCATCGTGTATGAGTTAGACTGTGATTCAACAAATAATCAGTAGATTAAAGAAAATTAAGATGAAATCTAGAGTTATTAGGATTACAGATCAATATATAGATTATAGAGTAATGATGTTTGTATGATGATTTTTATATGAAAAAAGAAAAAGGAAAAAATGCGCCGTTGCCGGGGATCGAACCCGGGTCACCCGCGTGACAGGCGGGAATACTTACCACTATACTACAACGACTTTGTTAATTATAATAGTGAACGTTAATTATTTAAATTTAGAACTAAGTTATTGTAGCTTATGAACCACAAATTGAATGGCCAAAAATTTTCATTCGTAGATAGACCATTCCTACAAGCCACAAGCTTCACTCTCTCTCTCACTACCAATAACCTCAACTAAGATAATTACAGTCAATTCTAAAACAAAGAGGGAGATGGCAATGTCCGCAACGACGGCAGCGTATATGCCTCACAGGGAATTGATGCCAACACTAGTAAAACCAACCTATAGTACTACCCTTTTTGTGTTGAATAGTAACATTACTAAGAATAATGCTAATGTTGTTAGCACCAACAACTATGTTACACTTACACGAAAGGCGGTATGTTGGAGGTTTCTAGCAAGGAGCTCCGATGATGGGTCGGAGACAACTGCAACTGCCTCGGACGAGTCATGGGAAGGAGAAGGTGAAAGCAGTCAAATAGAAATGCCTAAAGGACCTCCTTCTCTCATTTCTCCCCTTAATGTTGAGAAGGCTCTTCGTGGCATTGGTAATTCATCCTTTCTAAACCATTTCTTCAATTGAAATATTTGATCTAGTGATCATCATTCATATATATTCTTTGTCTATTTATTTTCAATAGGTCTTGTATACAACTAGTGGTCTCGCTATGTGCACTTAGTGTATTCGTATAAAACAAATTTACCTTAATTTACGTCGATTACATAAAAGCAATTCAACATTAAAATTCATAAAAATCTGAAATTTATGTTATCAAACATCAACCTTATAATGGGGTGATAGAGTTTATCTATCGACTTTATCATCTAAGCTTTTGGTTGGGAGGGTCCTCTAACATATAATGATATCAAACAATAACTTTGTAATAGGGTGAAAAAACGACACCCTTTTGTCATTCCCTCTTAAGGGACGCAATGTATCCGCGAACATTTCGTAATGAAGGATCAAATGTAGTTAAATGGACAGCAAATAGGCCACATATATGCTTATTAAATGTAATGTGATCGAGCCTATTAATCAGTCTATATATATATGAAAAGAATCATGAATTTAATAGTGAGTCGATAATTGACAGGCAATAAACGAACAAGGAAAAATGAGAAAGGAGAGAGATGTAGACAAAAGGGGCAGGACTTGAAGTAGTCTAGGCAGCAAGCATTTCAGGAGCTGCCCAAAGAAACAGAAATTAATTAGAAACAGAATAAATTAGGGTTCGTTTGACATCGCCGTGGTTTTCTGTTTTTATGTTTTTTGTTTTTCAAACTTATATGATATTTGTCATATATTGAAACAAAAATTAGAAAAAATTATTAAAATCATGATAATTTTGAAAACTGACAATAGAAAAGTGAAAACACATTTTTATTGTTTCCTGTTTTTTGTTTTCTAAAAATAAAAACAATGTCAAACAAACTCTTAAGTGTTGGTTTTTTTATCTCATACAAAACTAAGCTCAAAAGTAGTTTAAGTATTTCTCAATCATTTTAGCTGAAACTTGTACTTAATGGCCTGATAAAACCATGGTTTAGAATGGTGCAGCAATTACAGATGTAGACCATTATGCTAATCTGGGGCTTCGACGAGGATGCAGCTATGATCAGGTATATAATATCCCTATTTCACGTGTTCTATACATATATTCCATCGTGTGCACGTATGTTACTTCTTAAATTTCCCGTGTCAAACTAGCTTAGGGCCTGTTCATATTTACTTAATTTCAGTTCATTTCTGTTCAGTTTAGCTCTAATCAGTTCAGTTCAGTTCAGCTCCAATCAGTTCAGTTCAGCTCTTAATTTTCCTCTCTCATAAAATATTCATTTCAGCTCAATTCAATTTAGTTCAGTTCAGTTCAGCTCCAATCAATTCAGCTCCAATCAGTTCAGTTCAGCTCAGTAAATGTGAACAGACCCTTAGTATAACTTCATCTATTTCTCAACACACGTATCAACTTGATTTCATTACTATATATAAACTTAAATATAACCATGTTTTATTGCTCGAATAATTTTAAATTAATGTCACTATTTTGTTTAATATATAAGATACTCTTTTACAATATGAGCCTCCTCTTATTCTTTTTTTTTTTTCTAATACTTCTATATCATTATAGTTTTTTCAATGATTATAATTTAACTATGAGCTGACGAGCATAAAAGTCAAAATGATTGAGAGATAGAAAACGTATAAACTACATTTTCCTTGTATAATTGAGTAGGTAAGGGCTGCATACGAGACTAAAGTCAAGGAAATTTCAAGCCAAGATATGGACGAGGAAGAACTCAACAAAGAATTGGAGCTTCTAAAGGTAACAAAAAGTTAGGAAAAAAGTTGACTAAAGTCATCTATTTGTCAACTACATAAATGATGACAATGTTATTAATTGATGTATTTATTCATTTTAACATATTCAATTCTCTAGATCAATTTTTAATCCTTTGGTAATAAATTATGAGCTCCAAAATATGTTTAATTATTTTGTTATATAGAAACTAAAGATAAATTTTTATGGTTTATAGGAATCGTATGCTATATTGTCTTCTGAAGATGAAAGGAGGTTATATGATTGGAGCTTAGCAAGGAGTGGTAATCCAGAGAGATATACTTGGCCATTTGAGGTTGACATAACACAAACCTCTGATTACGGCACTCCTCCTCAACAGGTAACTATACTAACACAATTATTTGTATTACCCGATCTGATGTATTAATTATTACAGACATCCGCTTCATAATCGCAACAATTTGACGATTTTTACACTATTTATATGCTTACCTTAGGTATGTTTTTTGACAATATATATAAAACACATATTGCCATGTAAAATAAAAAAAAAAAATTGAATTAGTGTTTCACTTTTTATGTATATATTCATTATATTACAAATATAAATAGTTAAAGCTATGCATTGACATGTGTATTAGTCAAAGTGTTGCAAAACTTGCAATTATTATGAAACAGAGGAAATGATCACACAAAATGCATTAAAATTGTGCTAACTCCATAGACAAAAGTTGCAACGGTTAAAAATAATCTTTGTAAGTAGTATTAAAAATATTTCATAATCTATACTTACTATATACTAATGTAATCACCGAGTGGACACTTGGCATGATTTTATGAAAATTTTTCCCTCCGAAATGCTCTACTTAAATAAATAAAAAAAAAAAAAAACTAGTAAATATTTTTGAAGGATAGACATTAATAAATTTAATTTTTCTTTTAAAAAAAAGTGTTACAAGTCATTTAATTTCAATTAACTCTATTTCAACGGACTATTATTATATCATACTATTATAATTTAACATAAAGTCATCACATTTTGAGTGATAAATATTCATGAAAACATTTTTATAAATTATTAGTTTGAATTAATTGTCGCAGGAACCTGAAGACGTCGGACCTACGATCGCAGTAGGATACTTCATCTTAGGCTGGTTGATATTATCTTTCATTACATCCATCGCCCTCAACCGTTAGAAAGCATGCTTATTTCTTTCCATTTTTTTTTAATCTTGTAAGTTGTAATCCATATTATCTTGTAAATATGCACTGTATAATCTTAACCATATACTATAATATACAAGTATGAATTGAAAATCCATGTTATTTATGCAATTATGCTCCACCACAAATTATTTCACTTTCACGTATTTAAAAAGCATAGTAATACAAGATGTTATACTCCCCGTCTTATCAAATTGGTTTTGTTTACTACTACTCCGTAGTATACTTATACTATTTTTATCAGTTTTTAAAAACTTATCCTATTACCAATGACGAATATTGCCTACAATCAACTCATAAAATTCATGTTAGTAACACCACAAATCATTTTACTTTCACGTACTCTCTGCACTTAATTCACAATTCATATAATGTAATTTTTAATTTATAACAAAATTAGGTCCTTGTATCATACGTAGTGATTTTCACTATTTATTATTATAATTATAATAATTATTTAATTGAAAGATAAGATTAAAAAATTCATAATTACAAAAATAAAAATAAAATTATCATACTAAAGAAAATAATGAGAGTAGCCTAACATAAAGGTCAACACAAAGTTTTATATCACCATACGGTCAGCCACAATTTTTTTTTTAATATTATATTTTCTCTCCCTCTTTTATATCTCCTCTCCTCTCCTCCATTTTCTCGTCTTCGTTTCTCTCTCCTCTTTTCTTCGATTTACCAATCGTCATCGTCGTGGGTTAGGGTTGGTCACGGTTAGGGTGGTTTCGTCGTCATGGGTTAGGGGCAGATCTGGGTATGGTTATAGGTTTGGTCAGGTTTAGGGTGTGGGTTCGAGTTCAGGTTCGATCAGGGTTAGGGTGGTTTTGGGTAATGGTTTTATGTGGGTGGATCTGGGTTAAGGGATGGTGGTGTGGGTTAGGGATAGGTGGCATGGGTTAGGGGCCGGTGGTGTGGTGTTTGGGGCTGGGGCTAGTGGTGTGGGGTAGCGGTTTGTGTGATGAGTGAGGTGCAACAGGTGGTGGTGTGGTGGAGTTTAAGGCTTTGAGGTGGTTACTAGGTCAGTCAGGAGTCACTATATACTAGGGTTACTAGGTCAGTCAAGGGTTATTAGAGGTTACTAGGTTAGGGGCTACTCGGTCAGGGGTGACTAAGTCAGTCAGGGGTTACTTTTTCTAAAAGTTACTTGTTTGCTGACGTGGCACCCTGTGGCTGGCCGCACCGTAAACTTGTTGTATTGTCAAAGCATATCAAAACTCTCACCTCTCTTCTCCTCTCCTCTCTTCTTATGTACTTTTAATCTTAGTTTTAAAAAATTTAGAACTTTCTTATTTTCCGCGCAAAAACAAAAAGAAACTTTGTATTAGGGGACAAAGGGAGTAATATAGAAATATACTCCCTCTGTTTTTAAATACTTACACCATGCGCGAAGTTTTAGGAGAAATTAGAGAAAGTAATAAAATATGGAGGTAGTAGGGTAGGTGGAAGAATATAAAATTGCAAAAAGCAAAAGTGGTGGAGAGAATTGAAGGGGAGAGAATAGGAAATTAATAAAATATTATTCATGTTAGGTCCACTAGTGATATAAATTAATTAAATATTGTAAAAGCTTTCCAAATAAGGAAATAGAGCAAGTATTAAAAAACGGCCGAAAAAGGAAATGGAGCAAGTATTTAAAAACGGAGGAAGTAATACTTATGGAGTATAATTTTATTATCTTAAATAAGTTGTACTCTCTCCATTTTTAAATACTTGCTCTACTTTTCTTTTCTAGCCGTTTTTAAATACTTGCTTCATTTCCTTATTTGAAAACCTTTTACAATATTTTATTAATTTCACTCACCAAGTAGACCCAACAAGGCAACAATATTAATTCCATATTCTCTCTCCTTCAATTCTCGCCGCTACTTTTGGGTTTTTACAATTTTTTATTTTTCCACCAACCCCGCTACCTCATATTTTATTATTTTATCCAATTTTTCCTAAAACTCCGCGCATGATAAAATAAAACAAATATTTAAAAATAGAGGGAGTAGTTGTCAATACAAAAGATATTAAAAAAAAAATAGTATATTATTTTTTTACAAAAATAGAATATATTTATTTTTGAAAAATCGTTTTTAGAGGGAAAAAATAACACCATGTTATAGTAGTATGTTATGATAGTAAAAAGACCTCCTACGTTCTCAAGTCTAATTGAATGATAATTTGGTGTAATCTCAAAATGTCAACTTATTACGAAGTATAATTCTTACTCCGTATTAATTTTAATTAAAATAATAATAATGGTTAAACATTTGAATTGGAGAATAACATTAGTTCATTAAAAAGTTTGTTATAGAATATAGACATTATAGTGTCAACTTCATATCATTGTTCTTAAGAGATATTTTTTGCACTTACTTAAAGGATTAGTAATTACTCCATAACATAAGAAACATAACGTTATAGCTAAACCTAAACATATTTATTACTCCGTATGTTATTACTCAATTTTAACATTTAAACAGAATGAAAGTAAAGTGGTACTTTTAATCAAGTAAAAAAGGGAACTCCATACTCCGTCCATTCCGTTCGTCAAGGTTCCTCTTATACAAATCTGTTTGTCCAGGCCTCTAATAAAATCTTTCCACCTTTCTTTCATAAGGTATTATCAATCAAACATTTCGAACAAGAACAAGCGACTTATTTCGTTTTTTTTAATCAATCTTACCACTTCTGATTACTATAAGTCTGAAATCTCAGCTAAAAATTACTTGTATTATATACACCTTCGTTTATGTATGATGCACAACATTGTAAGATTGGTGTTGTTCATTCAATGATTTAAAGGGAAAATCCAAGTTTATAAGAGAGATCATGATTATCTCGGGGTATAGTTTTAAATTATGAACAGTAGGGATACTTTTGGCTTTCCATATATTTGCATCTCAACTTCCTCCCCACCGCATTATCTCTAGACGCTCTAGAAGTACCCCCGCCGCTCCGACTACACACTCCCGCTTGCATCACACTACACAACCACTAGCACCGCTTGCTGCCCTTATTACGCAACCCCACCTGCATCGCTAAAACCTAACTACTTCATCCGTCCAGAATAACTAGGATGTTAGACTTTTTTCACTATTTATGTATTAGCTATGACCATAAATTTTTACTATCCTAATAAAAACATATTATATCATAAAATACGTTGTTAGATAAGTATTACTATATAGTTTCAAAATATAATTTTGGAAAATTTGTCAAATAACACCTTTTATAAGACTTTTGTTGTGAAAAACCACCTTATAATTATTTATTTTATTTATTTATTTATTATTATTATTATTATTATTATTATTATTATTATTTATTTATTTATTTTTTGTAAAAACACACCTAAAACAAGATTAATTTTGCGAGAACACACCTAAAACAAGATTAATTTTGCGAGAACACACCTTACCCCTTTCAAGCCATTGACTTGGTTTGCTGGCATTAAATTGGCACGTGTCGGACACCTAATCTCATAAAACCACCTTCCTTTATTATTTTTTTCCCTTTTCCCTTACCATACCACCTCGTCGCCGCCACCCACTCACAACCATCCTCACCAACACCATCTCACCTAATAAATCCTTTCCCATGAATATTCCACCCTCGTTAATTCACCCCACCCCACCCACCTCACCTCCCCTCCTTCCTCCTTTAAAGCCCAATAAAGCAAGCACACACAAATTTAAAAAATAATTTTGAATTAAATACCACAATAGCACTTTTGGCCCCTTGAAACTATTGCTAAATTTAACTATGCCCAAACATATTGGTAGGCATAAATCAGTCCCAAAATAGCAATCCTAATTTCCAATTAATAACCCTAATTTATGACAATTTTAAAACCCAAATAAACTAAAACAAGTTACCTACGTTGAAATTAGGTTAAATGAGTTTCTTAGTTAGAGCTAAACAATGGAGTTTGCTTTTCCAATGGAAAGAAATTAAGGTTTCATTGAATGAAATGAGAGAGAAAGTTCAATTGGAGGGAAGAAAAGGGACAAAAAAAAAGGGGGTTTTGATCGAAGCACGTGAATCTCACGTGACAAGTCAACGCTGTAAACCAAGTTAATGACCAGAAACCTGGGTAAGGTGTTGTGTATGTTCAAAGAAAATAAATTATAAGGTGGTTTTTTACAACAAAAGTGTTATAAAAGACGTTATCCGACAAATAATTCTACTCCATCCATGTTTTAATAAGTGTTACACTTTGACCGACACATACTTTTAGGCAGTTTAATTGACATTAAATAAAATAACAGGCAAGTGAGGTAGTTGAAGAATTAAAAAATTGAAAATAAAAGATAATAAAGTTAATAATTTAATGAATGTAAGAGGATATAAATAATAAAAAATAGTAGTGGACTTAGATATATAATATTAATACGTAACATTTTTTGTCCAAAAAAAAAGTTTATCATTTATTCAAACACAACCGCTTTTGGTAATTGTAACACTTAGGGCCGGCCCAGCCAGCCCAGCTCAGCTCGGCTCTTAATTTATGTCTAATGATATTGCTAATGATATAAAGCCAAATTTCATTCTGTTAAGATCTTATTACAACGACAACAACATCAAAAATAATAATAATAAATAGTATATAATAATAATAATAATAATAATAATAATAATAATAACAATAATAATAATAATAACAATAATAATTGAAATAATAATAATAATAATAATAATAATACTAACAATAATAATCAATAAATAATAATAATCATCAATAAATAATAATAATAATAACAACAATAATAATAATAATAATAATACTATAATAATACTAATAATAATAATCAATAAATAATAATAATAATTATCAATAATTAATAATAACAATAATAATATTGATACAATTCATTGTTCAAATGGTTCTATTTTTTTGAAACATATTTCTAATGTTAATCTCATTGAGAAAATTAGAGGTTTCAAGTTTTTAATATATTTTCCATACATTTTATAATATATTTTCCATACATTTTATAATTATAATCATATAGTATATTTTTCGTAAATATTTTAATATGTACATTTGTATATACACATATGTATAGTAATAAATATCAATAAATAATCAAAGATCACTAATCCGTAGTTAAAAATCACTAATTAATAAGTTCAGTTCAGTTCAGTTCAGCTCGGTTCGGTTCGGTTCAGTTAATCGGAACAGGCCCTTATTCAAATATATAATAAGTATTAAAATAATTTTCATCAATATTTAATTGTATAAAAATAAAGTCAAACTAATGCATTGACCTATGTGCAAAGTTAACTGTGTCATTTATTCTTATGAAAACCATCACTATCGCTTTTAAGATTTCTGTCAACTACATGACCGACAATTAACAAAGGAATCAGTTTGTGTGGGCCTACTTTACATACTTCACTACTATGTTGTCTTTTGTTCGGACGACCAGTTTACCGCTGCGATAAAGGTGGTTTATCGACGACTCGGCCTGGTGATAGTGGTGGAGTAGCTAGAGGAGAGAAAGGAGGAGGCTAACATGAGATGTCAAATTTTTTACCAAATTGCCATCAAGATAAGCATCCAACTTTCTCTTTGAGAGAAACCTAGGCTCCCTAATGACTTAATGAGCAATAATCACCAAATAAACAGACAATATAATTAGAATCTATGATACCCTTTTTTTCAAAAATCCTAATCCTAAAATAATGCATTAACTTGATGTAAGAAATAATTACATCAGAGAGAGGGGTGGCATTTACGATCATGACATTAATCAAATTATTTCCCACAGAATAAGTGCTTTTTTTTACAACAAAAAATAATTACTCACAAATCAATATATTTTTGTTACGCAAAATGAAGTACTTACATTATTATTATTTTTTTCCCTAATTCCGAGGCTAATCTGAGCTGAACTCAACTTTTCGCCCTTAACAAAAAGTTTGATTTGATAAGGTCTCACCATGCTTTCCCTCTCCACCGGTTGAGTTTTATTTGATAAGTCACTTAGATTTAATGGTCAAATTCAGCCATACAACCCCCATGAGTCGTGATTTCATGGTTGAATTTGACCATGAGCCCATAAATTATGATATTATAAGGAATTTCACATCCCTTGTTAATTGTTTTAGGAAAATTAGTAAATTCCCCTAAAAAGAGGATACTTTGTCCATTGCTAACCCTAAAAATAAAAGTTGTTAATTACTATTAAATATTGTTAATTACTACCTTTAAAAGTGATTTTGTATGATTACTATCTCCAGCCAATTTTCGGCATTATCATTTATCAATGGTTTCTCTCTACACCTAAATTTTAATTAGATTTACACCTAAATGTAAATTAGATTTACACCTTAATGTTATTTTTCAGCAATAATCATGCAAATAAACACTTGTAAGGACAATAAGGGTAGTAACTAACTTCTTAATTTTGTAGTAGTAGTAATTGGGAAACTGCCATACCCCCCCCTCTCCCCCTTTTTGTTGGAGTGTTGGTAGTCCTTTTTGCGGCAAAAGTGGCAGTGGGTGGGTTTTTCTTGGTGTTATGGAGGTATTTTTTCCCCCCTTTCGAATGTTGGTTGGGGGGGGGGGGGGGAATTGAGGGTGATGCGGATCAAAAGGAAACAATTAACATTCCAACCATGATGCCTTTGATCCACATCGGGTAAGTGAGGAATCAAGGTTGCAAACTATTGGGGTATGAAGAAATTGACAACATTTCCTAACAAAGGGAATGAACCATCTTGATTCTGTTACCCTTTTAAAAACCCCAAACCAATCAAAATCCCCCTGATGAACCCCAAGTCAATTTGATGATAGCCTCTAGCTACCCAAAGTGAAACAAATATCAAACAATACTACAAGCTGAGTGGTATCCAAAGTAAAAAAAAACATATACTACCTCCGTTAAATGTTAAGTGTAACTTTGGGGTATTATTTATGAGATATAAAATATTCCAAAGTTGCACATAACATTTAACGGAGGTAGTAAGAAAATTGCAGCCACCAAAATACTAGAGTTTTGGGCACACACAGAGGACGAATGTTCCAAGTATATAAAAAAGAACAATCTATCACGCTTTCAAACTCTGACAACGATAGCCAACAAGAACCAAATCAAATATCACATGAAACCCAATGCCTGGGAAACCAAATCCATTTTGACATAATATAAGCTGATGATTAGAAACAACAAGAACAGAGCGAATTTTGATGTAAAGAAGCATGTAAGTGAGCATGGCATCTATTGAGTATTGATCTATATCTATACTAAGTATTAAAATGCACATAACCCTGAAAACACATGTTGCTCCCTCTACTGTCTTCCTTTCCCTTTTAAAGAACGAAAATGTAAACATTATGTGTGACACTACAATGGTATCCTTAAGAAACTAGCTTTAAACCTTCATTTAATCCTTCAACGTCACTTCTCTATTCTGTCATCAATAGCCAAAAAAGACCAAAAAATTCCGTGCATGTGAGACTTGGGTTTGACCTTAGGTGTGGAGCTTGGGTCACGAATGAAAAGAACAGGCATCAAACTAGTATTTTTTTTTAACTCCACCACTTGAGTTAGTGAATCAAAAGACACAAAGAGAACTTCCTAGACCCCTTGTGTCATTGAACCCCCCCCCCCCGGGCATGTACAAACACGCGCGCACATACACGCCACCCACCCAAATGCACACGCACACACAGTATGAAGGAAAACTGATATAGAAGAAGAGAGAAACTTTTCTGTGTTAAAAAATAGCGGCCCCAAAATGGTTTTTAAAGCCAATGAAAGTTGCACGCGCACGCGCACACACACACATGCACAACCATTCCCCGCTCTGAGTGGGAAGGCTGGCTTGAAAGGAACAATTATTATGCAATCATAACTCTTACTAAAGATCCACCTGTCACTAATTTTAATGCTTCGTGAACTCTGGAATGAAGATAAAAAGAAAAATGTACACAATACTCTTGCCTGGATCTGTATAATGATAGCAGTGCAGTATTCAGGCACGTCAAGAGGCAACAGCTAATAGCAGGGACAGCTGAGCAACCAAAGGTGCATCAAGTTTATGGACAGATTCCATAGACGGGAAGATAAAGGATGATCAATTCAAGACATCTAGATTATGTAGCAGGCTTAGAAATTAGAAGGGACCAGAGGATCCATGAGTGGTAGGCTGGCAGAGTGGATTGACTAACAGCAACCGTAGCAGGATTAATTGAATATAAGCATGGTTTTCATGAAAGGATACATATAGGCTGTTTAGCCAGGACCAGGAGCATAGAGAAATACTCAAGAAAACTCCAGCTCTTGTACAAAGTACTCACTGAAGTTAAAAAGATTTAAGGGAAGCATTCGACATTATCTGTGAGATTAATGAAGAATCAACATAAAGGTGTCTCTAGTTCCTTCAGAACCTCAGCATTTTTTAATATCAAAACACTCCCTCTGCAACAAATAGTCACCCTCTCTGCAAAACTTTAAGGCAATTCATTTTCTCTCCCTCTTCAGTCTTCCCTACTCTTCCACAGTTATCTCTTACGCAAGCGTCTTCACTCTGTATCACATAGGCCGGATACGGGCCATACAGCTCAGCATATACTCAATACAAAATAATGTTAACTCACCAAATTCAAACCTCCTCTTTAGCTGTTGCGAATGCCTTCTCATGACATTCAAGAACAATATCAAGAAATTGCTCAATAACAAACACTGCTAATAACTTTTGAGAGAAAAAAAAATGACTAAGACCAATACCGTTAGCCTGTGAGACAACTAGACAAACCTCCTCACCCCTCTCCATCCATTTACTTTTGTATACCTATCTCTGCAGCTGCCCCTAAGAGAAGTTTTTTTTTTTTTTTTAATTTTATTTTAACTCTTCATTATACTTCCTCCGTTCCCCGAATATTGCAACATGAGGATAGGACACAGATTTTACGAAGCGAGAGATAGAAGGGAATAAAGATAGGGACTCATGTGATGAGGAGAGAGAAAGAGAAAGAGAGAGAAAACGTGCAAATAGGGAAATGTTGCAATATTTGTGAAACTTCCTAAAATGGTAATTGTTGCAATATTTGTGAAACGACGGAAGTATACAAGACACTTGCAAGCAAATGAATCAATAAAATACTATCAGCCAGAGGAAGAAAAGCCAAAGCATTCTTTTTGCTTCCAGAATAACTAATGCCCACTTCTCCCTTCCCACAAGACTTTGTGCTGGGTATGCCACATATGAGGGAGCTGAACTGAACCAAGGGTCAAATACATACCTGAACATAAAGTACTAAGCAGGACAAGAGTGTCCTTGGAAGAGAAAGGACAATTACAATACTGTCTTAGCACATACCTCAACCATCCTGGAGATTCACGTGGAAAATGACGACACTTCACTAAAGACCATCCATTTCTAAACTGTGCAAGCAGTGCTTCTTGACATAACTCATTAGCTTGCATCCAACTTCAAGCTAAGAAAATGAAGTAGGTTAGATGATTAGATAAAGGTTAATCATGATGAGTAGTCCAAAGCTGAGCACTCTACTAGATCTGTTTCAACAAAGCCAATAAAGAACCAAAATTAGAAGTGAACAGTAAGATGAATGTTCAAATCTGTGTGGTCCACGGTTAATTCAACTGTAAGGTAAAACATGAGAAACAACCAAAGGGTAAACCATGTTGATACATTTACCTAATCAAAAGATGATCAAGGTTGAAATATGTGATCCTTTTGTATACACTATTACCTCAAAAGACATTTGTTGCCAGCCCTAACGAAATTTTTTCCGTTTATACCTGTGGCAATCCTCCCCGTAATCATCTGAATATTTAATCTTCCCACGGTCACTATGCATCTCCTTACCATTGACTTTTTCATCTCTATTCGAGTGCCGAGATCTATGACTGGACTCTTCACGCCGGTGCCTTGCGCCATCACCAGAATAACTGTGTTCCAAGCTAGACCTAGAGCGACTGTGAGAATGTCGGTCAGATTTTCTCTCATTATATTCCACTCTTTTTCTTTTACTGCTTTCTTCATTTGGTTGATAATGTTTCAGAGCAGATTCACGGCCATGCTGCTTTCCAAACTCATCACTACTTCTATAAGTTTTATGGAGCTTTTCTTGCCTGTCTTCCCTCGGCCGAATCCTGCTATCAGGAACATCTTTTTCTGAAGAAGACATATCTGATTGAGCTATCCTAAGATCTCTTACACCCTCCGCATTACGAGCAGTTTTCCCTTGTCTATTACGATATGAGTAAGCTTTATCACCATCTGAATTGTCACGATTTCTATGCTTTCCTTCTGAACTCTTGGGAAACTCATCGCCAGAGTGATACAGGCCCCTTTCCATTGAATTATGGTGGGTATTCACATTGCGGTCTCTATCAAAGATCCGTTCTCTGCAAAGTTGAAATTTAATTGATATAATATTTATATACAATGAGAACATGCATAGAATTTAGCAATAACCAGGAAATCGCAAGAAAAAAAAAAATGATACGAAGGAAACTAAAGAACAAGAGAGCTCAGCCAGCATAGAATTTCAATTTAAGGGTGAGAAGGGGGTGGGGGGGCATGTGAGGGGCAGCAAGGGATGATTAGCTAGCTTCAAATATGATGCTGAAATTTTGCGATTTTACAAAAATTCGAACAGGGTTAATATCAGAACCAACCATTAACCAACTAGCATTTATATGCATCAAACTCCCTTTCACCCATAAAATAAAAGACCAAGCATGCACATAACCAATAGTGAAGCAGACTGACAGCACCCCCCCCCCCCAAAAAAAAAAAAAAAATTCTAGTCAACTATGTCTCCTCAACATACATAGCTATGTACAATACATTACAAGCAGTGAAAAGAGTTACCTTTCCAAATCTACATCATAATTCCTCTGCAAATATGCACTATCTTGATGCTCCAGATGATCTACATGTCTTGGTTGCTGACCAAAATTTCCAACTTGTGGTGTTATGCCTCCCACATTCATATATCCACTGTGCCATTATCCATATGTCAGTCACCAAACATATGAGGAGAGTGGAGGGAAAGGGAAGCAATGAAATAAGATAAACAATTGAAACACAAAGTATAAACTGATTGTTACAAATACAAATTTTCACCAAATCAACCCAGGCAAGATAAACCATTAACCCCTCTAATTTAGTCTCAGGATATAAAGGCAACCCTCTCCCCTGTCACTGCAGTTTATTGGGTTCATATCTTCATGTTAAAATGACAGCTTTCAAAATAAAACTAAAGATCAGAAATATCATTACTCAGAAACAGCAGATCAAGTGCGAAAATGGATCATTAGGCACACCAATAACATGCACTAATGTAAATGAATTTAAGACGTAGGTTATAAGGTGCCACTATTGCTGAGGATGAAAGCAGGCTACATAACCCATGACAATAAATACCCCCACAGAATTCTAACTTTAGTTATACTACTGATTGAAGGGCCTGAAAGTGCACAAAGCTGATTAAATAAATTATCAATATTGATCAAAGAGTGAACACGGTGAAAGCCCAGGATAATTTCTGAAAAGAAGTTGTTAAGTCAAGTCTGAGGAACAATCATGGCCATATGAGAGCCTTCTCAGAAATTGGAAGCTACGACATGATGCCTTTAAAATACTTCATCCAAAATCAGGCTGAACAAGCAAAGACATCGAATGAACTACAAGATAAACAAGACCAATGATTTGCTGGCATTTTGCATGCCTGTTGCACCACAAATTAGAATTTTAGAGGGAATAGAAATGGCATGTGGCAAAATCTTTGAATTTAGTAAGCCTCATACCTAAATTAGGATTTTGAAAGTTGAATAATAGGATCATGTTCAATTTCTAGGAATCTTGTCAAAGATAATTTATTTACTGAAAGAAAATAACAAATTAACTAATTATAAAAAATAAAAAAATAAAAATAAATCATTAATGAAAGTGTATCTCCAATGGACCTTCAACGGTAATTCAACCATTATCTTCTTTTTAAAAGCGCAAGGTGTTCCACTGCTCCAGGGAACAAATAAGGTGTGAGGGTGAGAGGCTAAGGCATGACCAACCTACATGAGGCACATCTTTTTGCAAAAGGTTGTATAGACAATTTTGACTTCATTATTTGTAAAAGAAACTCTTTTTCTTTTCTTTTCTCTCTCTCTCTTTCTCTTCTTCTTCTTCTTCTTCCTTTTTTTTTTTTTTTTTTTTTTCACCTCAGATGTGGCATAATCACTTCTATTCCTAAAACAGTGAAGCACACAATATCTAGCATGCAGACATAAGCATGCAAATCATGTTACTATGCAATAAACCTTTTGAAAATATGAAGAAAAGCAGAAGTCATAGCTATACCTAACAACAGGATAGCCACCATACATTGATGGGGAGCAGGAAGGAAATGCAAGCGGTGAAATGGGAGCTGTGTTGGTATTATAGAACATCATCCCAGGGCCTCCGTACATGTTAATATAGGGCCCGGGATAAGGTTGATTTCCTTGCCAATATGTTGGTGGATAGCCTGATACAGCCCCAGGAAGTGAACGTGAACCAACACCTAGATCACAAGATGAATAACCAACCACAGAAAAGGCCAAGAATAAGTATGTACACAGTAGATATAACTAGTTACTAAATGACCAACAGAGTAGAAAAATCAACCTACCATTCCAGTGGTTTGTGTTGTGGTCCACAGCACCCGGACAGTCTCTAATCAAATGATCAGGAGACCCACACATAAAGCATGTCCGTGGACCCTGAAAAAGAGCAAAATGTCAACGATAAACAATTCCACTAAGTTGAAATGGTATAATTGATCAGCTCATAAGGCCATACAAGGTGTCAGATAAGGTGTAGAGGGAGCGACATACTATAACTGCAGTTAACTCCCCTATATTATATATAAACTATCTGCGGGAAGAATTAAACAAGGTATCATTTTCTAACTTTCATCTCTCCGTTTACTGCTTTAATCTTATGTGCTATTTAACTAATGTCTCTTTATCAATGGTAGCCCCACCAAATAATTCTTTCCTCCTACAGGAATCAGACAGATTGGCCCATCTATCAATACATTTTTCATCTGTGCTTCTCCAGTTCAATCATCTAACATTGTGTTTAAAAACACTTGAACCCCTAATGCAGTGAGAAAATTGTAGCAATAATTCTAAATAGGAGTAATGAAAACTTATGGTCAAAGTTTGTGAAGTTTGACCTTTAAAAGACAATTGTAGCAATAATTCTAAATAGGAGTAATGTAGGCTCTATTTGTTTTGGAATAAAGTGTTTTCAAGGAAAACCCTTTTCCAACTTTCCTCTCTTTGGCTTGAACCAGATGGGAAAAAAAAAAAAAAAAAAAAAAGGTAAGGTTGGAAAAAAAGTTTACTTTCCACTAATAAAAACCATTTCCCACCAAATTAGAAGAGATGCTGCAATTTCTGTCAAGAAATAAAGCAGGGGAAGCCAGACAGTGGCAGCTTCTTGCTTACAAACTAGCCAATCGCTTCTCATGAATTTTCATAACCTTGCTGTGCGAAAATGGGATATGCATTCGAAATGGATGACCGTGAAGGCTCAATGAATTGCTGTTTTATTTTATTACAGTAATTCCTAAATAAAGCAATGCTATCTCCATTGATCAGTTTAGGGCGTTGAAATGATGGTAGTCGAGAGTATTCCAAACAACCAAACAAAGGAAAATAGGAAAATGTTGCTCATAGAAAACTGTTTTCAGTTGAGGAAACAATCTGAGCCTTAAGAAAATTTAGTAGACCCAGCACTTACCTTGTTTGGTCGTCCAGGATCTGTGAAATTCCTTTCTCCACCTGAAAGTGTGACATCATTACAACAAAGATCAGAAGCTTTAATCAATTAGATCTTCAATATGGAGTACTAAATTGGAGATATGTTGACGACAAAAATCATACCTCCAGTAATGGCATGCACTCCCTCCCCTATCTTGGAGCAAGAAACTACAGGCAACAAACAATATTTTCCAGATAGAGCAATGTTACGAACTTCATATTGTCCAGAGTTTAACATAAAACATCAGAGCATATTGCAAAAATATATTTACTTTTCACAATTTTGAACAAATACCATACAGAGAAGGAAAGTACATAACGACCTCACCTTCTTCATTAGTTTTAGCTATATTTTGCGGCTCATTTTCCCCTTCGAATTCGCTGAAATCTTCTAATGTACCAGGAGTTTCAGCAGGATGAGCACAATCATGTAGCTTAGTTGACTTTTTCTGGATTGCATATTTCCCAGTAACAGGTTGGTTCATTTGCAAACGCTTTTGTGGAACAGTTGCAGCATAAGAAATCTCCTTTACTTGAATTCCAGATTCACCATCTGCACAGTAATTGTTAAATGATTACCCAAAGCTGGCACATTGTAAATATAATAAGCTCCTCCACACTACATTGTGAAACCAAATTTATTAAGCAACATCTTTTTAGAAGTATGTTGATGTATAGAATACCAGGTGCATATCTATGAAGCTCGTCTTCTGAGCCATTCAATAAGAGTTGAGATTCAAGAAAGCGCTCAATTGCTTGCGTAAGTGATACATTTGGCAGTAAATCATTAGGTTTGCACTTGGTGGAAGAACACATGGGACATTTTGCATTCTCAGACAACGCTGCACGAATACCTGTTAATGAAAAAGCAGATAAGTAACGAGATGAACAGAAATTATCAAGAGACAAGCAAACATTAAAAAAACTAACACTTGCTTTTCAAGCTTAAATACATAGTTCCAGGTACACACACACAGACACATATTTCCTCATCCCCTTCCCTGTTCCCTCCCACCCCACCTCCTTTGCTGTGTCACTGTGTGTGTAATAAATAATAGTACACAATTATATTGGTATAAAAACCAGATGACAATCTCAACAACCCATTTAGATAACGAATAGCTAGGATAACCCCCCCCCTCAATACAAAGGCACCCAAACAAAAATAAAGAAGAAAAAAAAAAAATTCCAGCATCAAATTGAAGCGAAACTGGGGAAAATAAAAAACTGTTAGGGAAGGAAAAGATGATGTAATGCATGTATTAACAAAGTGCTGAATTAAGGCCCAGCTTTTAAAAAAAAGTTACACGATAAGAATTGATGGACACAACAGAAATATTTGGTTTTGGATTAAAACTGAATTAGGCCCTATAAAGTTCACCTTAAGTAAAACAGATTCAGTACAAATAAGTTCTAATCGGCAAATTGATTCTAATAAGTAAAACTGAATTAACTATTAATATTTGGCATTGGATTAAAACTGAAAGAGGCCCTATAAAGTTTACCTCAATTAAAACAGATTCAGTACTAATAAGTTTTGATTGATTGATTGATATCAGTACTAATAAGTTTTAATCGGCGAATAATTAGTGCTCTAATAAGTAAAAAAAACAGTCGCTATTGGTAAAATTCAGTTATAATCAGTATATTTCATTTTTAATCAGTAAGTATTAGTAATCATTGCAGTAACAAGCAATAGCAAGTCAATAAAAATAAGTTCTAATTAGTAAAAATAAGTTTCCCAATCAGTAATATTCATTTTAACATCAGTAATAACACTTAATGCCATTGATTTTTATTAATTGTAAAGCCATGGGCCCGTTGTCAGTAGTTGCTATCAGGATCACGGGTCAAAAGAATAAATTCTCTGTTATCGCAGGGGTAAGGCCGCATACTTTACATCCCCTCACCACACCTTGAGTGGGCATGTCTTCATGTAAAGATTACTCATACAAGTCATGTATTCTGCAGCTATCCAAGGTCACAACTTTTATCATTCTATACCACTCTGGGCATCTTGCATAAAATTTGGCTATTGAAATCACATACAGCAGTAGTTGGAGGATTAGGGGAGACAATGCAAAATTCAATCAGATATTTTCAACTTATTATTTATTCCAAAATTAGCACATTTGCTAAAACAATGCACATTTCCATACTACAATGTCTGCTGTCTATGTCAAATTACATTAAACCCAGAATTTGTTGAGCTAACACTATAAACCATTCCTTGAATTGAATAGTTCACATAAGAAATATAAACAGCAGGGTGCAAGTTTCCAATTTAATGCCAATCTATCCATAGGGGAGGAGATGGTTGAAACGTGGAAATATACAGCAAAAGACTCGTAGTGTCCCAGCAAAGGAATTCTAATTCAGATTTTGACAAGACTTGAATTCAATCATTTACACGTTTTCTCTTTTTTTATTCTTTCTTTTATTTTTTCTTTTTTTTTTTTTTTTGAAGACAATCATTTGTACTTCTCACATTCATCTGAGCATATTTCAGATGTCCGGAGATTCATAGTTATACAATTGTACATCTCACCATCAGTTTTTTAAGCAATACATATTATCTAAACTTTGGTACTAATATATACCAGGTGGTGTAATATACAAAGTAGTTCATTAAGCATAGACAATAATAGCAGAGCATGTGCATTAAAGTTTACTGGTAAAGCTACCAAGTCACGCATATTTGCGGATGTGACAAGCCATCAAAACATATTTTTAATATAAAAACGTGAGTTTAAGTTAATCATAAACAGGTACAAATACTTACATTTTCCACAGAAGCTATGTTGACAACATGGTATCATGACAGCCTCTTTAAAAAAGGTTCTGCAAAGCGAACATTTCAACTCTGATGGCATATCACAGCTCTCCATGGCTAAATATTTTGCATGATGAGCTCTTCACAAATCAAAGTCAAATAAAATACCAGATTCAGATATTGCTCATCATAAACTCGACAATATTCAAGTCCGGTAACACCTCTATAAAAATTTACCTCTTCAACTCTGTTTGTTCCTCAATTTTGGGCTTAGGCACAACTAGGGTACTTCCCTCATTTGCACTAGAACCTGAAAAGATGAACAAGTTTCATGAATTACAGATACAACAACCTTCTTCAGACAAATAGAGAACAGTAAGCTTTTTACCTTTTGGAGTCAATTGACCAGGGAGAGCTGTCTCAAGCTTTTGGCATTTCACTAATACTTCCTGAGAGCATCTGTATCGATCACGTAAAAAAAGATAGTTCTTCAATAGATGAACTTTAACTTGATGCAACGACAGCCTAATGGAAATGAGCATCACAAAATGTAACAAAACAAGGAAGATGTTCAATCGCACAAACAGTTACCACCTCATCAATCATGCAAGATTGCCAGCAAGGCACCTAATTTATCAGGGGGAAAAAAAACCCCACTGGACCACAATAGACAAACATCCTCAACGAACAAAGCTGAGACTTGTTTTATTTAATAGCGATGTTGGAGCAAGACAGTCCGATATAAATTATTATGCTAATCTTGTTAATAAAATGGATTTGACTAATTCTATAATGAGGGGTGCAGTGTATTACAGGTTAACTACTAGTTTTAGATTACGCATTCAATATCTTTTGGATTTGGTGAGCTGGAGCAAAATTGAAAGGGAAATTCTCAATGGTACTCATCTAAGTTTTTTTTTTCTTTTTTTTTTTTCTCAATGGTAAACACTAAAATATCAAATTATCGATGATATTCTATAATTTGTAAAACTAATTCAACGGTATCATTAATTAAGCATTTTAAGGAAATATTAACCATGGCTAATGTTTAAAAAGGGAGGGAAAAGCGAAAAGACTAAAATACCCCTTTTTAACAAAAACCCACCACCCACTTCTTCCCCCTGCCACCCCTGCCCACCCAGCCTAATTCCCCTGCTCCCGCTGGCGCCAGCCAAGCCCACCCCACCAAGATCCCCTCCCTGGCGCCTGCGCCGGACTGAACCAAGATCGCCGCTACACTAACACCAACACCATCTCTAATCAAAGAAATGTGCGATAAATTTGTAGGTTGTTACCAAAATTCGCGGTTCACCAAAGGTGTAGATCGAAGGACGTAGGTGACTGGAGGGATTGGAGGTGTTGGTCGACGGTTTCCAACAATAGCTCCGGTAGGTGGGTGGCGCCAGGGGTGGTTGTCATTGGAAGTCAGGGCTGCTTGGGGTTTCGGTAAGTGATTTCATGGGTTTTGTTGGGGATCCGGGAGGGAGGAAAGGAAGGTGTCGCGACGGGGGGAGGAATCGGCGCCGGGGAAGGGAGGTCTGGGAGCGGGCACCAGGGAGGTGGATTGTGTTTGGGCACCAGGGAGGTGGTGTTTTTTTTTTCTAATTGTAAAAAATAAAGGAAAATCTGATTTTCAAGAATATATTAGTCATTTCGCCTTTAGTTAACTATGGTTAGGCTGAATTAGTAAGATAATTTGATTTTATGATGTTACCATTGAGAAGAATAAAAAAACTTAAGAGTACCATTGTGAATTTTCCAAATTGAAACTTCATCATTTGTGAAATTAGAACTATAGCCGCACGACAGTACAAACTAATGACTGGGCATAATTATCATAGTTTTGCTAGACATTGTGCTATTAACTCAGCTAGCAAATTAAGTTACTAGTAAAGAGTTCGATTAGCATTTGAATTCTTTCTTTGGGTTGAACGAGTTGATAGCTGGCACATATGATGAATTTAATAACTTACGAAAACACTGTCACAAAATGAAATAATTTGTTTCAGTAGCTTAGTAGTTTGTTACAACCCGGCCACATCGCAACGATACGGATAAAACTTCATTCCATGGTTGCAAGTATTCCAATAAAGAATAAATGCAGTACACAAATAACTAATATGAGATTAATTAAGAGCTTGAGTTATTATGTATCAATTCGCCAACATCCTCTTGTAAAAATCATTAATGATAATCTCGATAAAGTATCATTATGTTTTAAGATGCGCATATAAGCAATAATTACACCATTAATATCAGCAACCAAGGATTCTATTTAAATACTCCCCCCCCCTCTCTCTCTCTCTCTCTCTCTCTCTCTCTACACAGAGGTGCGTATGGTATCGTATAGGAACATACCTTGTAGCCACGTAATCTTTCTTCCCATTGTTGTTCAATAGCAGTTCTCCAGTGTCAGATAAGTTTGTGCAAGGAGGTGGACACAAGTCAATTCCAAAATCATTGAGGTTATTTACTCCAACATCCTGCAAGATACCAATAAACAATTCGCACACAAAAATTAGATGCTTAACTGAACCTTTTGAAAATCAACAGGAACTTTTCCATATACCATGTATGTACAGCTGAAATAACAAAGAATTGAGAAGAAATCATCTATAGGAAATAAATTATTTTAGCAGATGAAATGCATTTTCTCAATTAGTCAAAAAATACACCTAGTGATATAGCAAGTTTACGATCACATGTTAATAAATTGTGGACCAATAGATATGCTTCTTCTTCAGACCTGGTGAGAATTATTTTCTCGACTAGTCAGAAACACACCACTTACAACATTTTTCTTTTTTTCCCCATGAAAAAAACACGCGTTCAAGATTATATATATTAGTAGACAATTAACTGTGGGCCATAGCACACGTTTTCCACCTTATACATCCAATGAAAATAAGAATAGGAAGTACCCTTCCTACGGATGTTCAACATGATTAACAAGCTGTCAATTGATTGTATATCTGAATAACGATATCATTCAGTGGTTTCCCATGCTTCTATAATATAAACAAAAATATCATATATAAAACCCTAATAATTATAAACTAGAGTGTTATACATACTAACAAAAAATTATATTGATATGCTAGTTTTATCTAACTGTATTGTAATGGAATCAAATTCGCCTAACACCTTTATCATGATGAATAACAGTCTGATGAAGTCTCATAGCTAACTTGAACTTAAAATTTGAATAGCATAAGAACAGGTATGAAGTAAAAGAACACAATAATCAATAACAACATACCACAGAAGGGGGATCAATGACACCTAGGTCACCTACACATTTGCCATCCTTAACACCAAAGCATCCTGGTGAGGTATCAGAATCCCTGCAAACACTTGTGCATGTGAAATACTAAAAATACACACACTAACATGTATTAACAAGTTTAACAAAATGCTTAGTAATCAGTTCCATAAAATCATAGTAAAGTAGCGATGTAAATTGATATTCAATTCACTGGAGTTACCTATTCTACCTAAACTGGTGGCTAACTTTCAGCAGCACAAACAAAATGTTCACACTTTTGGAATAAGAGAGTAATGACAGCATGATGGCATCTAGAAAATGTTATTAAAATTTTTTTAGCAAAAAAAATATTTATGTTCATCTAACATTTGCATACAACACAGAAAAGAAAAAGTACACACTTTATTTTTCTCCAGATTGACTCATGGTTCATGACATGGCATGTGCAAAATATCTGAATACTTTCACTTCAAGAGGTATGCAATACCCTTTTTCCTTTCAAAGGGAGAATATAAGTTATCATTCTCGTTGTGTCAGCCTCTGCCATTTCACAAAACATAGGTAATACCAATCAAGTGTTGTCCTCCTTTGCATTCATATCATTCATACTTGGTCAAAGTACACCACAGTCCAAATTAGACGTGATAATTGAAACCAGAGTACCCATTTCAATTCAATGGTTAATTAAGTTGTGGCTCAAAGAATAGCATCATCCTACCAAACGTAAGGACTAAAGTCTGGATTATATATAAATTTTTATAAAATTCAGGTCTGTGTTCTTCAATGATCCACGAGAGTTCATAATTATAAGTAAGATCATGTACGAAGTCTGAACCCTAACTTTATCAAAGGGTAAGATAACCAACATCTATTTTCTAAAGGCAAAAACCAAGTCTGTACAAAATGCTTCTGGACTAATGTTGTCATAGGAGCATCATTACAAATCTTACGTAATCCGTGTATTATGTATATAGACTAAATTATAAAGCCTGACCCTGTTCAAAAGCCTCTTCGAATAATTCCAAAATAAATCTCCAAATGGAAAAATCTTCCCAAAGAATCAATCAGAAGTTCGAATTGATTTTGTCTTCATACACAAATAAGGACATGATAGAAGCCAAGCGTATACTCCAACGATTTTCTCACAGTTTAACTCTTCATAGATTCAGGATCCTACCTTCTTGTAAACAAAAACTTAAGTCTATACTGCACTTAAAGATGGCTGACTAATAATGGCCTGCACTAATCCTGATTGTCGGAAGATCATTTAAGCATTCATCAAATTTCCACCTGGCATATCAAGTTATGCAATACAGACAATCTAGTCTTGGAATGAAAGCTCAGTACGGAGCATCAGTTGTTTACCAAATGAATTCGAAGGTGAAATGTTGAACCATGGCATAAAAGAGCTGTTACTTTTTATAAATGAGATAGAATAAGGAAAAAAAATACTAGGAATAACATAAACAATCCACTCTCAATGCACCAAGGCTACAAGTTCCCAGGCTTCATCCTTGCCCTAGCACACAGTTTAGTTCTTAAGTAAGCACTCTCGATATCTACTAAAATGACTTTACTTGTGAGAAAAGTTTTTTAGTTCATCTAGGTTTGACACAGGCCTAGTGGACACAACTAAACTGATGTAAGCACAAGGTTTCCAGCCATATAAAAAGCAAATAAGGAACATGATAGCACTGATACTCTACAATGAATTGTCACCTTCCATGCCAAACTTGCAAAGTGTTTATCACATCAAGCTAAATTATTACACATTAATCTGTAACGCACTTATTAGCTTTCAAATATAAAAGGGTCCACATATGTTCACATGAAATTTTTGTGAGCTTTTGAAAGAGCTCTCCAATATTAAAGGGTCAAGGTAAGTTTCCAAGATTAAACTCTTAACTCATTAGGGCTTGATACAAATTCCAATACACTCCAGGTACACGCAACTACGAAAGTCACAAGTCTATGATAAGTTTCCAAGTTCATCATTAGCTAATTAATGCAGAACTCGACAATACACGTGGATTGATTGAACCTTGATCAATGCTAAGGGATCCATGCACATTAAATCTTCATATGGTCTTATACAGAAAGCTGCACTAATCAATTCTACATGTGGAGTATCTAATGAATTCCTAAACAACCTTCCAATGTTAAAAGATGTGATCTAAATACAGAAATGAACACTCTATACAAATTCAAACCAATCTTCATCTTAACATACTAAATCCGCGGAAAAGTATTGAATTCATCTAAATCAATCAATGCAAATTTTGGTAGTAAACCACACAAGGTATTCAGTAAATTATTTAAATAAGCTTCCAAATACGAAACATTCAAACAAAATTACAAAACAGTATCATGTTATTTCATCAAAAGACGTAGTTATAGTAACATCTATAAATCGGAATCATGCACGTAAACATGTATTCGCCTAGATCAATCAAGAAGAACAAACTCAACCTAAACATGTTTTAGCCTTAGTCAATCGAGGCATACAAACTCAACCTAAACTATTATGTTTCAGCTACATTTATACACCATAAAGCAGCCACGCTCAAAGACCTAAACGATAATGTAACTCGAACAATCCGGCTGTACAATCTCACCAGTAACATAACATAAACTAATTCGAACAGCAATTCATTCAACCGCCATAAAATAGGACCAAATATAAGGAAAATTGAAGCAAATTAATCAAAATTTCACCTGAGAAGAGAGGATTTCGCAGGTACTCGCTTAATAATTACGCTCGAACCACTAGGTATTCTAATGCTTTCATCCTTATACTCTGAATTCAACACAAACAAATCAAAATTAATCAAAATTGCATGATTAATTGAATAATTAGATGAACAAATTGAATCATAAAAATTGAATAAAATTGATAAACAAATTGAATCATAAAATTGAAAAACCTTGGCCAGAGAGAAAATCAGAGAAAACGAGGTCGGAATCTTGACAGAGATTAAGGTGTTTCTTCAAAACGATTTTTGATTTGAGATCGCGAATTGAAATTGAGGATTGTTCTCCAATATCAACAGAATCGAAAGTAGCAGAACTTCTGAATTTGAATCGAACACTAGCCATTGCAGATTTGAAGAACGAAGACGAAGTTTATCATATGATGCTAATGCTATGGAAGAGAGAGAGAGAGAGTGAGAGAGGAAAAGAGAGAGAAATTGGGGGCGAAATTGCTGACAAGTGTGATTATTTGCAGTACTTTGTGTTCGTATAAATATGTTCTGTTTGCGTGGGTTGGTACGGAGTATTATCTACTTGATGAGTTGATGTAAAAATCTCGATTGATTATGGGCTTGGATGCAACCCAAGTTGCGCTGTGCAATTATTTATGTGTCTCAGCAATACGTTATAATTGCAACACTTTTCTTATAAATGATCATTTATTTTAGCGATAATATTTTCTAGAATGGAATACTATTTACCGACTCAAATTGTACACCCACCCTCCATAAATGGTGTTGTGCATTGCTTCACTTAGATGTTGCGTTGCTAGGCACATCTTGCCAAACGTTGGTGATATTCATGTCAATTTGTCTTTCTTTTTGTGGAGTACTATGTCCCTTCCATAATGATTGACACGCCAGTCTTCAAAAAAATCCTTATGTTGACAAACTTGATGACGATGATATTTTTCTCTTCCACTTCGGTGTTTTGAAAACCTTTTAGAGAGAAAATAAATAACCTCATTGCAAGATGTTGGTAAGAAGAAAGGTCTTATCAAGCCATAACCTCTTACATATTTTCTTGACTCGTCACTCGTGTTAACGGGCTAGGTAATTTAAATTGGGGTAGGGGGAGAGGAAGGGTAAGGGAATCCCCCCTTCAAAATGTTACTAGTGGGGTTTGAAGTTTGATCCCTCAAGCAAAGGTTGTGACTTGTGAGATACAAACTTTGTCACTAGACCAAGTTGAGGCACCTACCCCTATTTACATGTATCGATAAGGTGTTGTTAAAAAAAAAGTTGAAGTAGTCGTGCAACATGACATGGAATGTTGCATTAATAATTTAGAATGGAGACTTTATCTAAATCTCCGATAAATAAAATGTAGAAACTATTAATTTAATAATTAAAAAAATATTTATTTTTGATAAAAGCGCATGGCATGGACACATAGACAAAGATCAGTGCGTCTTGTGTGTGGCTGGCCACACCATGTGGCCACTTATTAAAAAACAAAGTAACTCTTGTAACACTGACCCAGTAACCCCATGTAATACTGACCAAGTAACCCCTATTATACTGACAAAATAACCTTTGCAAAACTAAACGAGTAACCCTATAACACTAACAAAGTAATCTTCATAATGGATAGCCACACCGTGTGGCCAGCCACATATAAGAATTTGTGGACAAAGATATTATATCAACCAAGAAAAAAAGGGATTCACATTTAATTTATTTTAGAATTAAAAAAACATAAAATAATTACGAATAGTAAAAAATTGTTTTTTTATTTTATAATTTAAAAGCACAACTAACAAATGAGATTAGAGAAATTAATTTTCGTATAAAAAAAACTACTTATAGTGATTTTAGATTTAAATTATTTAAAAAACAACCTTAAAATTTTTATCCTAATATGTAATGGATGAGATAACATATACAAAGGCAGACCGATGAAAAAAAATTACATTTTATTTTAGAATTAAAAAAATATAGCCACATAAGAATTAACGAATGATATTTGAGAGTCAACTAATAAAAAAAAATTAAAAAAAATGGATATGATTTAGGATTTAAACTATTTAAAAAAAATAACAAAAAAAAATATTCTCACATGAAAATTTTTATCCACCACATTTGATAAACGGTCGAGATTTTTGAATATAAAACTAAAAATTATCACATTTTGTTGCATTCTGAATTACATAAAAACAACTAATTCCTTTTTTAACGGGCAATAGCAAGTTAATCAAAATATTATAGGATGTAATTAAGAAAATTTATGAGATTTATGGTAAAAAAAAAAAAAAATCATGCATCGCATGGTAAAACATGTCAATTATTTTAAGATAAAAAGGGAGAATTTATTATAAAAAAAAAATGTTAGAGTATAATATAATACTTGTAACACACTTTCGATGTAAAGAACTAGTGAGTATTGAGTAGCCTAGGCATTGTCTCGGGTTGCTACTTTTGTAATTGTACAATATAATGTTACAATATAATAATTGTCTTTGTGTAGGCAATTTTTTTTTTTTTTGTTTGTAATAGGGTATAAAGAGTCAAGTTGTCAAGGTAATTTAGTACCCACCTTAAATTATATACTACCTCCGTTACATATTATTTGCAACGATTAGACATTTTTCCTCTCTACTTTATGTCAAATCGTTGCAAATAATATGCAACGGAGGTAGTATATATAATTGGCTTAGCTGGTTGAAAAGTCAATTTTGTTATAAGTGGTTCGCGGTTCGAATCTTCTTATCAGTGACATGGCGTAATTTGAAGAACTCTACGTGGCACATTGACGTTTTTTATAAACGCCTTTAATATATTAGTATAGATTTTATCACATATTTACAACTTACCCATAATTAACCAATTAGATACAGTGATACACTATTACTTTAGTGTCCCCGACAATAATTCACTAGACTTTAATTATTTTTTTGAAATTTCATGTCTAATAATTAAAATTTCATTATAATTGTTTGTTATTATACATCCCTTGTGTGTGTATACAAACCTTTGATGATGAACAAAATTGGAAAGCAAGTGAAAGAAGTAAATTATGGAAAATTAACAGCAACACATTACATACATTCTTTGAGGTTTTGTGAACAAACCATTAAAGATAGCCTAGCGACAAACTATATATTATGCTCTCATTGCTTGGCAAAACAAACACAACCAAAAGAACAACAAACTAACCATAACATCACCAATCGAACTAAGCTAGCTTACGAATAATGACTTGCGCCCCACGTAAAGGTTGAAGGGTCATCATAACACAAGGCATATGATTATAAGAAGGTGAAAGCTCGAAAGAAAAGCGTTGCAGCAACATAGACAAAGCCATCTTAGCTTCAATCATAGATAGTTTTTGCCCAATGCAAACCCTTGGGCCCCACCCGAATGGGAAATATGGAGACGGATCATTATCGGATGTCTTCGAAACCCCCTCGTAGAATCTACTAGGGTTGAACTCGAGTACGTCTTTTCCCCACACTTGTTCATCTCGATGAAGGCATGGTGTTGGGACGAAAACATGGGCACCACCTGGGAGTTGTTTATCTCCTAATTTTGCCCCTTTCTGACCCGTGGTTCGGAATATGTTCGATGGCGGATATAGCCTTAATGTTTCTTGCAAAATCATGGTTACCTACATACAACACGTACATAATAGTTACGATCAAGGTCACCTATTTGTACAATACGAAGTAAAACAATTATATATAGATCAGTACAAGTGTAATTGTTCCTTTATATGTACCATTCATTATTTAGCTAATTCATACCATTATTTTAATTTGTGATATGCGTACGTATTCATTTAAAAAATTAGAAGCAATAATAATAACAATAATAACTTACAGTTTTGAGATTACTTAAGTCGTCAAAGGAAGGTGTTTGTTCACGACCAAGAAGTCTAAATACTTCTTCTCTTGCCTTTTCTTGCCAGTCTTGATGCATGCTTAGAGCTACAATAGCCCAAGTGAGCAAATTCGCGGTTGTCTCGTGCCCAGCAAAGTAGAATAGCTTGCACTCTTCGATAAGCTCTTGTAATGTCATTCCTTTACCCTCTAACTGGCTGTTAAGATTTGATTGTAGCATCAACCCTAACAAATCATCCTTCACAATTCCATCCTTTTTCATGACTCTATGGCGCTTTTGAATTATACCTTTCAATGCAATTGTCACTTCTTTATTGATATGTTTCATCCTTGCATTTGTTTTCGTAGGTAAATGCCTACATTAAGGTTCATTTGTATGTTAGTAAAATAAAATTTCTCCCTCGACCCTCTCAAGTGACAAATTAAAGAACACGTCTAAACTAATGTTTGCGCAAGCAGGGGTGTACAAAAACTGGCCCGGACCTGAAAACCAACCTGAACCGGACCTGTTGGGACCGGACCTGTAGATTCAGGTCCGGTCCCGGTCCTTGAAATTCAAGGATTCCGGGTTTCAAGTCCGGACCTGAAACCGGTAAAGCTACTGTTTTTTATTTAATAAGTCTAAACAGGTCCATAAATAGGTCTAAACAGGTCCAAACAGGTCCATAACAGGTCTAAACAGGTCAGCAATTTTATATTATTTTAAAAAAGGAAAAAAAATCAATAATCAGGTCTATTCAGGTCCTTGAAATTCAAGGATTCCGGGTTTTAGGTCCGGACCTAAAACCGGTAAAAGCTACTGTTTTTATTTAATAAGTGTAAACAGGTCCATAAATAGGTCCATAACAGGTCTAAACAAGTCAGTAATTTTATATTATTTAAAAAAAAGGAAAAAAAATCAATAATCAGGTCTATTCAGGTTCAAACCCGGACCGGACCCACAACAATAAAATGTCCATATAGAAACGGAATTCTAGCGACGAAATTTTATCCGTTTCTAAATTAGAGACAGAACTAAAAAATCCGTTTCTAAATTACAGACGGAATTAAAAATTCCGTTGCTAAATTAGCAACGGAATTGAAAATCCGTCTCTAAATTAGAAACGGATTTTTTTTCCGTTGCTAAATTAGCAACGGATTTTTTTCCGTTGCTGAATCTAGCAACGGATTTATTTTCCGTTGCTAAATTTAGAGACGGATTTTTTTTTTCCGTTGCTAAGTTAGAGACGGATTTATTTTTCCGTTGCTAAGTTAGAGACGGATTTTTTTTTCTGTAGCTAATATGAGCGACGACTTTTTGATTCCGTCTTTAAATAATTTTTTAAACTAATAATGTAAAATATTACATTAGAGACGAATTATGTAAGTTAAATTCATCTCTTAACTAGAAACGGATTTTCAAATCCGTCTTTAAACTAGATACGGAGTTTCAAATCCGTCTCTAAATTAGAGACGGATTTGAAAGTCCATTTCTAAATTAGAGACGGATTTTAAATTCCGTTTCTAAACTAGAGACGGATTTTAAATTTCGTCTCTAAAATTTCTTTCATTTATTATCAATTATGTGCGTAAAAGTAAATAAATAATATTTGGTATAGTTGGTAAGAGTTTTACTATGTGACATTGAGGTCACGAGTTCGACTCCTACC